TTCCTGCTCCTCACCATTGCCTGTTCACATGTGTCAATGATGAGGCACAGAAGGAAGGTAGGGGAAAGAATTAGCCTGATATTCTCAAACAGCAGCATCTCATCTCAGCAACCAGTTAATATCTATCTAAGTTCTCCACTCCCATTATACTTGGTACTCCAAAACTTTTAAGAATTATGTTCTGGTTGTCTAGCAGAATTCTGGTATTAAGCAAAATTACTAAGAATTCTTAAGAATTATGTCTAGCAGAATTCTGGTATTAAGCAAAATTACTATTGCTGCACATGTGTTTAGCTGCACTCAACCCTCACCTGTGAGCCATTCTATCAGATGCTGCCCAATTTCCATTGCTAAGGTAGATGTTCCTGTGCAGGCCTGTAAATGTATGATGCTTGTCCACTTTTTGATGATTCTTAGCAATTCAAGCACGCTGGTATTCCCAATGGCTTCATACCTTCAAACCAACAGGAACATGTGGTGGCAAACATTCTTCCTTTCCATTCCCACTCAGATACTGATTTAAATAAATAAATATGATTTTTACAGGGCAACAAGCAAGTTCATAAAAAAAACCTCAAAAATGTATCAATTTGCAACTCAGCTGTAACACAGAATATGTAGGAAAATCCTATTAGTTTTCAAAATATGATAGACTTTTTGATTTTCTTAGCAGGAACTTTTAAGTCTGTTGGACCATCACCACTGTCCAGGATTCATGGGCTGAGAACACCAGATCACCAAGAGAAAAGGATGGAAAGCTTTGTGAGAGGTTCTACAAGATCTGCCTCTTTGGTTACTCAAAGGTTGGTAGGGGATCAGATGTGTGAAGTGTGGCAAACTCCTCATCCAAGACCAACAGAATAATTTTGCACAAGTGGATCAGTTGCTGATGAATCAGCTGAGAACTGTGATGGCCAGCAGAGCCATCTTCAGCTCTGCTACCACATCTATAGTCATCTGACCTTTGTGTCTCTGCCAGCGCCAGCAGTTTCGTTTCAAAGGTACCATGTCTCACAGCCAAAGGAGATACTAAGGAATTCTGGGACTGACTGGCTGGTCACAGGACGAACCAGGAAGGGTATGTTCTATTTGATCCACTTGTGCATAGCCTATCCAACCATATGTAGTGTAAACAATGGTGCCTGACGAGGAAA